TTAGTTTTTTTTTCTATAAATATCAATAAAGTTTTATCTGTTGGGCCAAAAAGTGTAAAAATTTAATACAAGGCTCCTGATATATTGTTACAATATCAGTTGAAAAATATTAAAAATACATAGGCACAATTTTTTTTTATAAGCATTTTAACATCGAATTTTGACAGAATTTTTCAAAATCTCGAAAATTATTAATCATCGTAATTAATAAATTATAAAATGTTCAGTTTTTATAGCTAAGGATTGAAAATTTAAAACAAGATTTCACGTAAGTAGTTAATTCTCTTACCGAAAAATCTAAAAAATATACAATCACAGTTTATTTTTATAGTCATTTTATGTTCAAATTTGGACGAAATTACATATTAAAAAACCTAGTTATTTTGTTGTGATTATATAATATTATTCGTGGGTACCTACTTGAAACTTCTAAAGTGTACTATTATATATATATGATAGTATCAGGGTTTGTTGTTGGTGTATAACGTGTTATTAGTACCTAATGGATATTGTGATAATGTGATATGATTAATTTGGAATTTATTATAGGTCAATTTTTTTTTAATACCATAGATATGTATATAATTTGTCTTAACCTAGACTGACATACCGTCTTCGCTCAGAATCGTTTTTCTTATACAATGATATTGTATCATTGAATTCAAATTTAATAGCATCAATTATACAGTGACCCACTTGTAACCTACTGTACAGCAGAGCGACATCCACTTACCCACCTTTTTTAGTATAAATGTGAACACAAATAAATAAAAAGGTGTGCATAAATGGGTAGGGTACCTCTATGCTGTATAGTAAGTAGGTGTCGAGAGGGCACTTTAATAAAATATTGTGACATTGTTTTTCGATATTTATGGGGAGCCTTTTATTAAATTTAAAAACTTTTTACCAAGCATAAAATGTTAATTTTTATTACATTTGTAGGAAAAAAAATGTCTCCAACAAAATGTAACGTTTTTGAATTTTTTTTTTTCTATTAACTTAAAGATTAACTTATATGCTTCTGATCAACCAACATCCGTCAACACCATTGTGGCAGACTATGCAGATGACAAACTCATCATATCTACAAGTGAAAACCCCTTTGTAGCGTCGCTTAATCTACAGAATCATCTTTCTCTTATGGAAACCTGGTACAAGAATTGGAGGATTAAGATTAATCAAACCAAATCTAATCACACTACTTTTACCCTTAAGCTAGGACACTGCCCACCAGTCACTCTCTTTGGTACGCAAATTCCGTCCACTCCGACAGTCAAGTATCTTGGCTTAACCCTTGACCGTAGACTAACATGGGCAAAACATACACGTGTTAAAAGACTCCAACTAAATCTCCGACTTCGTATGCTTAAATCTCTACTAGTCAATAACAAACACACCAACCTTAATATAAAACTACTAATGTACAAATCCCTTATTAAACCCATTTGGACCTACGGTATCCAACTGTGGGGAAACGCAAAAAAATCAAATACAAATCGCATTCAGACTTTTCAAAACATAACATTAAGAAAATTAACAAACTCCCCCCCATATGTTTCCAATCATACTCTCCACACAGACCTAAAAATTAAAACTATTAAAGAAGTAGCTGCTATTTATTATAAAAGATTTCATAAAAGGCTTGCAACTCACTCAAATCCTTTAGTCAAAACACTCTCATCAAATGTTATTCCGGGAAATCCTCCTAGGCGACTAAAACGCAACTGGTGCAGAGATATGCTGACTTAATATCATAATTTTAAATTTAAAAAAAAAAAAAAAAAAAAAAAATTAATCAATAAACATAGCGTGTGTCTATGAGAAAACCTAATTATAACCTCAATTTTTAAGTGTCATCACTGGGTGGCTGCTTTTATCAAGCTTTTCATGTTATTTTGTTTGTTTATATTTTAGCTAATACTCTTGTTGTACCCTTGAGGTACAGATTGTGTATTTAATATTAATAAAGAAAAAAAAAAAAAAAAAACTTAAAGATCACCATTTAAATAAATAGTATAGCGCAGTTTGAGCAGTCAAAATAATTTCCTTCCTTTCAAAAATCAAAGTAACATTTGCGTTTTAAAAACTGTTTTCAATACCTTTCCTGGTTTGAACAAATATTTTTGTGAATTTTTTTTGGCAAAATTATTACTTGACGGCGCCGCAAACTAAATAGCTTAGTTTTGAAATTCGGTCGGAAATACTTCCAGCCCAAAATTCTAAATAAGTAAAATTTGTATTAAAAAGTTATTGTTACCGATAGTTATGTCGCATATAAACGAACACATTTTATATAACAATTTGCCTATAAGTATAGTAGGTACAAACTACAAATTAAATGTTACTACAAGATAACTGTGTACCTAGTGTATCTATTATCATTAAAATATATTATATTTATTATAATTTGTATTGGATTATTCATGCAATCGGTTGATCGCTGAGAATGACTAGACCTTTATCAATTGATCTTTTATAAGAATGTGTTCATATTATTATAGTTGTTATAATATTTTTCAATAGTTTTATATGGAATATATCTACCAGATTGAATTGTTAAAGGAGACAACCATGTCCAAATCATGGAAACACATAGCTAATTAAATTAAAAAATTTAAAAGTTTTTATGAATTATCTATAAAACTGTCTATTTTTTTTAATGTTTACCTAAAAAAGTTTATTTTAGAATTTGCTGAACTATAGGTAACAAGTTCTTTTTGGGACGTGAAAATAACTAATTATTGGAATAAAATACTACTCTAATATACTAAAGTATAAACTACTTACATTTTTGTTATACAATTTACTGTTTAATGGTTTTCATCAAAATTGTCATTATCATGAAAATTACTACTTACCGATTTTAAATGATTTTCACCAAGTGTAAAAAGGGAGGAATATTGGAATACAACAAACAATTATTATAATTTGTAGACCAAATTATTAATATAATACTGCCAACTATAACCGTTAGACTTTCTCTACGACAGTAACTACGAGGAGCAGCATGATATCTTAACATAACCTTATGGAGTTTATTAGTCACTGTCAACTAATTCAAGAGACTTGTGAAAAATTGAAAGTTTAAATATTTTAAGAAGTTTTATAAATGATCAGAATAATATATAAATAATATTTATGGGAACAATTTAAACATAATTTAATAATTATGATGTTATAAATAGACAGATATAGTTTACACTTACTCTAAAGTTGAAATATAACAAAAGCGGGTAGGTAAGTGAGCGTCGCTCTGCTGTACAGTAGGTTTGTAGTTGGTCAATGTATAATGGATTGTATTCAACTTGAATTCAATAATATAATATCATTGTATAAGAAAAACGATTATGAGCGGAGATGGTTTGTCAGTCTGGATATTTTATATTGTTATTATTTATTATAGCCTGTAAGTTGAATTGATATTATAATATTACAATATTTTATTCGTTTGTATGGTGATAACAAAGCGTTAGAAATCAAAATCCCAATTTTAGAGGTTTTTCGTAATTTGACGGTGGTTTTTCTAGTGGCATTAAATAACTATTGAGAATATTGAAAAATTACCTCTTTAAAGTACCATCTTGAACCTATTTTCTAAAAGATAAGATACTATATGTTGAAATCGAATCACTCCTTCTGGAAGAAATTTTGTATACTGGATAAAAAAATAATATACCTTCCTCGCTCCGCTCACAAGCTAATAAAAACTAAATAAAAATTTAATTTATACTAAATACATTAAATTTAATATTAATGTTGAACAAATTAATAATTATTATATTTTTTTATGTTTTATTGTATTACTGTACATATTACCTATATGAGAAATGTGGATGTAAACGGGATTATTAGAAATGTATGTTACAAAAGTCAAAAACTGTGTAGATAGAGCATAGTACTATTTGTAACACGAATTTGTTATTATCACTCAGTATATAGGTAATAATACACTTTTGGATTGTTATCAAGTGTATTTTAATTTTTATCCGAGGTCCTTTACTTATTTTATATTTTTAATAGGTCAGCCGTTTGGTAAGTCTTACACTTCTAACTTAAGACGTTGCATACAGTTTATATAGAGTATACTGTATACAAATTAAATAAATAAGTTATTATTTGACAGAGTTTTATAGCTACTAACAGAAATTAGCAATAACAAAAAAAAAAAACGAGTTTTAAGCTTAGAATGAGTCGCTGTTGGACAGTATCATATCTACCTACATAGTTTTAAACATTGCAATTTGCCAATTAAATAACATCTTTTTATAACATAATATGCATATAAGTATTAAGTATTGTACATATTTTTTTGGATGTATTAAAAAATAAATGCCAATAACTAATAACATGGTTTAAATCAACAAGCCTAGCAGTCAGTAGATCAAGTAATTATAACAATTATAACAATAATTATAAAGTCAACCACTACTTTGAACCGCGATTTGAGAATTTTATTTATAATTATATTTCTATGAAATACGTTTCCGTGTTAAAACTATATTATTTTATATTCCACGAAATTCTTTAAATCCAATCTGCATAACCATTAGAAAATAGAAAGTTTCGAGCGTATTACATTATCGGCACATCGCTGCAAATTCGCGCAACGGCTTTTTACAGAACAACATTTCAGAAAACGGTTGTTTTCCGTTTATAGATGTCTTCAGTCGTCTGCACTCGTTATATTATACTGCTTGGCGCCTACGTTTTAGAACGATTCAGCCGTTTGGCGAAGTGATAAATGCGTTCGGATCGAAAGTGTGCCTACTGCAAGTCTGCAACTACATACTTACTACATACCTACCTGGCTAGTGGCTACCCATGTCCTAAATGCAGTGATCGCAAAAAAATCGGGTCGTGTGCATACCTAGACGTCGCATAAATCGACAACATACAAATCGGCAGAGAAAAAATTAATTACGATAATAACACGGACGCGAAATCAACAACAAAGAGGAAACAAAAACGAGCGTTTAGGTGCAGATTTGAAAACGCCTTCTTCAGCTGACGTCGGTCGTCGGAAACACGTTCGTCCGCCTCCTCCGCGGTCCACACACGTCGCAGGCCGCTGCGGCAGCGGCAGCGGTCTCCGCGATCAGGTTGGCAACACTGACGGCGGCGCAACAATCCGTGCCGTGTTTATTTTCGTTGCTGCTCCGTGCTCGCTCCTCAACGACGGTCGACGACACACTCGTTAATTCCGTGTCGACCAGCGGCGGGCAGTCGGCACTCGGCAGTAGGTTCAGTCGGGTTTGGGTTTTGTGCGGCGCATTATTCGTGTGGGTCGTCCGCTGTTCTCTGGTGTGCGTCGCTCGTTTCGCGTATAAATACATGGTAATAATAAAAAAATATACGCACTCGTATATATAGTCTGTTCATTTTAAGAAGCGATTCGGCGGCCACTAGTAAAACCGGTTTTCAAGCGTAAATCAGGTCGCTTCTTATTTTGAACAGGGTATAGATGTAATATTGTTTTATACGGTCGTGACGATATCAATCGCGTTGCATTATTAACGTCTCGTTTTCTTGGCACAGTCTCACGAAAAATACCTTTATACTATTATTATTATAACGATTATAAAACGTTAATTTACAATAATATTCGCCAGTCGGCTTCGGTGACGACCGGAGGAGGAAGAGACGATGACGTGACTCGCCGGAGGACAGTGGCGCGAACACACAAGGCCGATATGGGGTACACCGGCGGTAACGCGACGGCTCAGGGCAAACCCGAGTACGAGGCCCTGGTGGGCCGGCAGGAGGCCGAGATTCGCATGCTGGAGGTGATGCGCCGATGCGTGACCAGCAAGCTCAAGTGCGACCGCGAGTACGCCGCATCACTGAGCGCCGTGTGCGCTCTTGGCTTCAAGTGCGGTGGCGGTTCTGGCGCGGGTGGTGGTGCGGTTGACGCGGCGCCCGGCAGCAGTCTGATGGCCGGCGCCTGGAAGCGGCTGCTGGACGAGCTGGACGCGGCCAGCCGGGCCATACGGTCCGTGTGCGACCGGATCGAGAAGAACACGCTTGACCGGATCGCGGGTATATGCGCTGAGAAGCGGAAGGCGAAAAAAGCGTACCAGGACGAGTACAACAGGATATCACTGCAGTACAACAACGTGAGTGTTTGGTCCGCAACCCAGTACAGAATATACAATATTTATTTACAATAATCACAAGTGATGTGGGGTATATGAAATTAAATAAGTTAAAGTAAAATAAAATATAATAAATTAGATCAGCTAATATTATATAGAGACGGAGGACTCGATTGAGGGAACAATCCATAGGAACTTCAATGACGCGACGTGGAGGTTTTTGTGGTGGTGAGAAGGGATATAAAAGTATCTAAGATGGATTCAATTCATCAAGGTATTTAAAAAGTGAGATTTCATTGTTGTTTATATTGGTGTAAGACTTGGTTTGAATGATTTATGACCCTAATTTGCATACGAATTATAGGTTTGGTCTGATTTTCAGTGGCTGGTTGTTCAGGGTGCAGGGCGTTCAGGCAGGATTGGAGGTTGTTGCGTTAACGTTTTTGGCTTATGATGTTTTTATCCATGTAGGTCAGTTGTTAGTAAGGTTATATATTGCACATCCTTTGTAGTTGGCGGAATGTGGTCCTTTACGTAGAGGGCCCATCTTCCTGGGTGATGTTGTGCAAGAGATGGATGTGTGATTTTGATACATATTAAATAACTAATATAATATTATCCACTCCAAAGTTATATCGAAATAGTTACTCCCTAGTATGATAATTGTTTCGCAGAATTTCGGTTCAAGACCAAAAAGATTTTATCACATTTCTTTAAGTGGACGTCAATCGTTTATGTCTGGTTGGGTGGTAAATAGTAATAGAGGTAATTTTTAAGATCAACAAGTATTTATTATTTTTATGGGATTGAATTACGAGAATTGCTGAGTAGGTTGAAATTAAAAGCAATACGATTACCGTAGGTAGGTTGATTCTAAACATAACATATATTCAAATTTTAAAACTTTTCTCCATGACGCGATGGTAAATCGGAAGAATACAACTAATGTCATGATTATTAATTATTATTGGTTGGAACTTCCTGTTTTTGAATTTTTATTTCTTATGGCTATAGAATATTATTATAAACGAGTTCTATGAATTGGTTTTGTGAATTGGCGAAATCAAATACAAAGTTTGACTTAGTTAGTACCTATATTTGACAAATTTAAGTATTTTTTAACAATTATTAATTAGGTACGTATTTGTGTATTTTTTCATACATCGTACACGTAGGTACGTTTTAGAGAATTTTTAGTGATTTTAATTGCTTCAGACTCTGCATCACCCATTTCGAACAAAAAGTGAACCTAATAAGACCTTATTCTGAGAGCATGCCCAGAACCCATATCGAGAATTATTGAAATGATGGATATATGAGTGGTTGGTAGGTTTAAGCACCGCGGCCTAACACTCCACCGTTCTATTATAAATTATTATAATATTATAAATCGTGTCGTACAAGGATTTATTCCGACCACCGCGGAAACCGAGAACGGCAGCATCGATCAGCGGTTATGGAATACCGAACATTCTCTTTCTGCCCATATAGTATATTGTCAGTACCTAGTACCTACGCGGAATTATTATTATAATGTGTAGCGCAAATTATGTATGCGAATAAATAATAAATAATATATTGTTGTAATAATAATAATACCGAGAATAATACTTGATTGGTACCCGGTACCTGGTATTATAATGCAATAGAAAAACCTGCGGAAAAACCAGTGAGCCCAACCGCGCACCCCTCGCCGGCGACGTAATATTATTATAATTTTAATATTGTTCCAATTGGCCGGTCTCGAGGACGACGGGCGCGCGATCGAGATCCTGTTAAATATTCAGTAGGCAGGCAGGCAGTCAGTTGGCGGGTGGAAGGGGTTGGGTATTCTACAATATTATTAAACGTCGTATTATTTCGATTTGATTCGATAAACGTTTCGCGTCCAACGCGGTTTTTGTTTAATTAGACGTCTAACCTACCTGTACGTTTTTTTTTCGTGCGGTCCGCCAAACTTGTTTTTCCTCTTAGGCCTGTGACGAGCAGTTCTCACGGTCATAAGTGAGAACACGCGATGTTTTCCCGAGAAAACCGCGGTGGTGACGACAATCACCGTCCAAAATTGCCGCCCGATTATACTATAATATTATATTATTAATAATATTATATTACGTGTATAGTATAATATTATGCTGTTAAATAATATAGTATATTATTGCATCGAGTAGGTGTTGTAAGAGACGTGACTATTTATTTAGTATTTATAATAAATTGTATTAAGTTGACATTACATTACACACCTTAAAAAAGTTACTCAAAGGCGTGCCTTTCTCACAATGTTACAATTTTCGCCCTTCTTGATTTTATTGCGATACGACCTTATATAATATAATGGATCGGTGAAGATCATTTTTAACCTGTGACGTTTTTTTTATTGTCGTTGACATTTTATTTTTACCGTTGGCAAAGTCAAATGAGACATCTCATTAAGTGTATATTGGGTACTGGGTAGGTATATACATAATAATATTGATGTGTTTGTATAAATATATTTATAAATCTATTGGTATTCATAGTTCCAGTGACAAACTCTGTTTTTCTGTAGATATATAAACATTTATGTAGTTATGAATCATTCAGGAGAATAGTTCGATGATCCTATGTAGATAGGCTCTGTAATACCGATCCCTGTAAAACTAAAACTTCAGTGAGAGTGATCGGGTCTATAGCAAATGGATGAATCCCCGGGGTCATTGAACTGGAAATGTGATCGTAAACATATACGATGAAAACGAATATATTATAATGTTTAAATCAGTGTTATATATTATTATATATGTGTATGTAAGCGTATTTAATTCATAGCCAATGTGATATATTTTAACGGTATTTGTTTATGATGCAATAGTAGCGCCCACACCGCTAACCAAGTAGTACAACAGGTGCACCGTGCACGGATGCTCAGTGGTAGTGGGTGGGTCCTGTTAACTGGCAAAAGAAATTGGTAGGTACACCTTAGTCCCTAAGCAACCCCATCCAATTTATGATCTCGAGTTATAAATGGCTAAACAATTAATTTACAAGTTAGGTATTTTTGAAACTATTATTATTTGAGTGGAGAGTAGTCAAAATTATCTACTGCACGGGTTAGTGGGAAATTTATGGGCGCCAAAGGATGCATACATCGAATTTTTATACATGTATAAAAATTCGATACACACATTCTTACAATCAACTAGTCTGCCAATGGGAAAATCGTGCCAATTTTCTATTTTGAAAGATCAATGTAAATAGTTGGATGATACTATCATTATAGGGTGGGTAGTTCACAACACCTCCGTTGCAGTATAATAAGCTCGATAATAAGTGTACCTATTTCACTTTTTATAAAGTTTTCTAAACAGTATACGATTTATTTAGGATGCTGATAAATCGCAAACAAATATACATCACGTCATCACGTTAATACTGTAGCGCACAAATGCATATTGCATTTATTATTTAATTTTTATACACAGCGACGAGTTCGATGTGCTTACCATAAGAACTATACTGGGCGAGAGACCCACAATAGGTACGTCACGTATTCGTTCGACCGTATGTACGTAATTATCGACTGTATTATAGACGTTGAATTTTCGTACAGTTACATATTATTATTATTAAACTTACACGCTCGGTTGTACTTACAGTTTCTAAATGAGAGTATCATATATATTATAATATTATATATTTATATATATACCAACAAATTCCAACGCCAGGCCTGCCCCCGAGAACCGGTGCGCACGTAATTCGAAGAGAAGCAAAACGCCGAACACACCGCTCACGGGGTCATTTGTTTCGCGCTCTGTCAAGTGCCCCACCGAATTTGAAACCCCACTGACCCACTTGCCTGGTTTACATCGATCCTCCCGCACAAAAATCCGAAAATCTATTTTCCCAAAATACGAATTGTATAGAACTATAAATCGATGTTTGGTCGGGAATCTGTTTGTGTATAATATGTGTAATGCCGGAAGATTATAACGGACGAATCACAGAGTTGTTACTATAAATAAAATTCTACACCGTATATAAATGTATTATAATATTATTATGTTCATACGTGTGAATTGTTTTTGTCGGGTGTAACTGGTTCGATTCGCGTAGACGGTAAACCCGCCGGCAAGAAAACGACGACCGCTCCTATTATCGCTATGACGGTCGGAGCTCGAAATGCAATAACTGCAGAATATTACCCGCGAATCGGAAACTGTATTATATACACGAAGATTTCTCGCCGGACATCCGTATCCTGTCCCCACCACTGATCATCTCGAGTGTTGTTACATAAGTTCCGTGCGGATTTATTTGTTTTTCTTTTCGTTTGGTGTGACCTTGATCTGCGCATACCATTATCGCGGTTTCGGCCTATTTGAATGCGACTGGTTGGTATAGACCAGGTTATCATCAAGACATTCTACGCCTCGTTGTGACCTGATGAAAGTGCTTTCTCGTGCCACTGTTGTCTGTTGATTATTTATTCGTCGCAGATGCCAACGTCCTTCTCGTATGTATAACAGTAAGGAATCGTGATTTCAAGGAAGTCATTGTTATGCATTTAATATAATATCTATTTTAAACTAAAGCTCGTTAATAATTTTTTGTTTGCTCTAAAATGAGTATCTATAATAATATGCAACATCATAATAGGGACGAACATTTTCACTTTTTATGTAATTCAGTTGTATTGTTATAATCATCGTTAACTATATTGTTCTGTGCCATAACCCACAGCGATTTTCCGACATAGATTATCAAAATGTAAAATTTCCTAACGGAATTTCTTTTTCTGTTGGACTGCCGATTAAGTGGTTGTAACCGACGATATTTTATTTGCGCCGCGGATGAGTACTGCAGGCCGTTGACCTTCCGTCGTTATTGCAGTGAACTTGATTGGCCGACAGTA